GGGGGTACCATATATATATATATGCAATATAGGGGCCTTAATAATTAGAATGGGATCTGGGGTCTAAAAACCCTAACCCTAACCCTAACCCTAAGCCCTAAGCCCTGAACGCTAAACAGCTTGTGATCGTGCCTTGAGAAGCTCCCGGGCTTCAGGGCGGAGTTTCAGGTTTACAGCTGTGTGCTTAGAGCTGCTACCGTAGCCGCCCAGCCTTAGTAGTAAGGCACATAGTATAGAAGTCTAATGTGGGTTTAGGGGTTAGGGTTTAGGTTTTGAGTCTAGGGTTTAGGGTTTAGGGTAATACTTTCAACTACTAAGGTTCCTGCTAAGGAGTTTAAATTAGTTTTGCCATAATGAGGATCTACAGGCACTGTTTGATATTGCATCCTTACTTTGGCAACTTAAACTAAGTCCGTCAGCAAGAACCCAGATTGTTACCAGTACTCGACCTCGGGTTGCCTTTTTTATGAATAAACTAGTTTAGGGTTTAGGGTTTAGGGTTTAGGGTTTACGGTTTAGGGTATGAAGAAACTAGGCTCTGGCCCCAAACCCTACTCTAAGTGTTGAGGCCAATCTATTCAACATACAGTCTTCTCGACCTTGTGTTACGTCGTCTTGTGGGCCCTCACAAAGGTACTTCCGCCGACGACGAGATCTTCGTACCGACCCGGCTTTAAGAGGCTGGTACCTGTCGATGGTAAAGCCGGAGGCACTGGAGTCATGAATGAATTGGATGACTGACCTACAGTAGAAGCCCAAAAGTTGGAAACCCAATAGCCTCAATCCTTAAGAGCAATGTATAGGGAATCCCAGCACTAGTTGTCCTTATTCCGGTTTTCAACTTTTTGGGCTTTACTATAAGGCTTTTGAATGGCCTACAGGGTTTTAGGGCCTTCGGTTGATTCAGGAGTTGTGCAAGGTATGGGCCTATCCCTTGCGTAAGGGACCCTTGTTCGGAATTCCCCCACATGCCTTCATCCCACCTTTGATTTATTTCGGTTCGTTCCGCACACCCGGAGGTTGGCGAGTAGAATTCAAGAGATGACCAGACCTGTGCAAACGCCCTGAACCCTAAACCCTGAACCCTAAACCCTAAGCTGGCTTTGCCATCCCAGGGCTGTGCCTCAACAGGGCCTTGGGCCCGCCGTACATCGGAAGCTTGCATTGCCAGGTCTTGACTCGCTGCAGGCTTGTCATTCGGGTCCCCCAAACCCTAAAATTTCAAACCCAAAAGCCCTAAGCCCTAAACCCCAAAGTCCTCTAAACCCTAAACCCCAAAACAGTCAAGCCCTAAAAAGCCTTCAAGCCAAGAACCCTAAGCCCTAACCCCCCAAACCCTTCCTAACCCCTAAACCCCAAATATTGGCCCTGAACCCTAAACCCTAAACCCTAAACCGTAAGCAGTGAGCATCTTTGAAGGCCAAGACCCGGCTTCTTGGAACGACCAAAACGATTCCCAAAACGTCGTTTAGGGTTTAGGGTTCAGGGTTTAGGGAACGACCAAAAACGATTCCCAAGCATCGTTTAGGGTTTAATGTTTAGGGTTTAGGGTTCAGGGTTTAGGGTTTAGGGTTCAGGGTTTAGGGATCTGCAAACTCCACGGTTCGTAAGTCAGCATTCCCTAGCGTTCCTTCTCACACTCAAAAAATACAAACCACCCCAAAGCCGTTTTCGAAGTGTTCATGAGGACTCCATAGTACTCTGGACCTTGTAAAGGGAACCAAATGACCGGAACCCCAAAATCCTAGACCCTACGCCATAAACCCTGAATCCTAAACCCTGAACCCTAAACCTGAGCCCTAAACCATGAACCCTAAACCATAAACTTCAAAGCCCGTACCGAGGAGTGCCCGGACCATGTGGACATGGATTCACGCTCTGAACCAGGGACCCGGTTCACAAAGGAGACTACGGTCTAGGGTTTAGGGTTTAGGGTTTTGGATGGGGCTTCGGATTTCGGGTTTAGGGGTTCAGGGTTTAGGGGGTGTTGTTTTGGGTTTCTTGGGCATTGGCTATGTGATCTTACGGTTGGTAGTGTCGTCCGCCCTAGCGCTCACAGCGATAGCAGTTAGTACCCAGATAATGTTTACGGGTGATGGTAGCCAGTAGCAACTTAATTGGTAAATGCTGACGTCTTCGTAGTCGTTGGTGGTGGTGGTGGTGGTGGTGGTGGTGGTGGTGGTGGTGGCGGCGGTTGTGGT